TTGATTTAAAAATGCACATTAGGCTAACGCAAAATGAATTCAAAGAAAAATTGATAGTAAAACTATGAGCTCCCATCTGTATAGATAAAAAATGACTGTCATTTTTTCTTGACCAATTGTGACGGTCATAGAAGGGTGGGGAAATTGTGACAGTTGTGGAAAACGTCTCGTCATATGACCGTCAATGACAGGTCATGTAATGCATTCGCAGCTCTATCTGCATCTTTTTTAAAAAAAAAAGAATTCTCAACTCTGTGGAAAAGTTGAGTGTAAATTGAAAGGCAATTGATGATCAAAAATTCAATTTCCAAAATGCAAATCTGAAAATAAATTGAGAGATAATTGAGAATCAAAAATCCCATTGTAAAAAAAAAAATCCAGTTCTCAACTCTCAGAAAAACTGGAGATTAGATTGCGAGATTATTCAGAATCAATAATCCAATTTTCAACTCTAAAAAAAAGTTGAGAGTAGATTGAGAGATTATTGAGAATCAAAAATTCAACTCTCAACTTGCGAATTGAGAGTTTTTGTGAATTGAGAGTTAGATTTTTTGTTTTTGAAAATCTGATTTTTGATTAGAGAATCGGCGAATTTTCTCAAAAATTTTCTATATATTGTAGCTTTTCCCGAAATTTAGCGCAAACACGGTGAGTTTCACTTGTTTTGTTGTTTTTGTCAATTATCATTATTATTATTATTATTATTATTATTATTATTAGTGTTATTATTATTGTTATGGCTGTAGGAAAGTGCAATACAGTGTGTTGCTCCATTTCCACGAGTGGGAGTGAGATGCAGGAATGCTTGGTACCCGTGGGCCCTCATTGGCTTACACCCCTGAGCTATCCGCTCGACAATTCTCATTTCCATACGGCGAGTTTCGGAGATTTCAGTGGCGCCATCTGGCACATTTTCCTATAACTGAGCGAGACAGTATGGCGACAGCTGATCGCTTCAATTCCGATTCCACTGATTGTGAGAGTTAGCGGCGTCTAATCCCTTCGGGACAACTCCCGAAAAATAGTCAAAAGTAGTTTTTTTAACGAGAATTAGTTCGCGAGAGTGTCTAGTGTGTGTGAAAATTGAAATAAGTGTTTATAACTTATAACTTTATAACTATATTTACCGTCGCCATATTGACAGGGTGTCACGCGAGTGTTGTGTGACTAGGGGAGATGGTGGTGTTTATTTTGCGTTATTTTCTAGTCAATATTAAAAATATAAAAACCTATTTCCCCCCTTCAAGGCACCATTTCCGTTAAGAGGCAATAAATTATCTGTTTTTTCAAAAAAAATCAGATTTTTTTTATGTAACCATACGGTCGTAATTAGTGGAAACGGAAAATGTTTTTTTTTACAATTTTCTGGGGAATTTACTAGGGACATGTCGGGCAAAAATCCATCCAACCGGGCCTTAAAGATATTTTCATTACACCATTTAGATATTGAAATTCAGTAGAGAAGTGATTAATGAGCGTAAGTTCAACCCCAGGCTGAGTTTTTAATGAATAATCTTCATTAGATTTGGAGATATCCATCAAAAACACAGCCTGGAATTAAACTTATGCTCGTTCATGACGTCGTTACTGAATTTTAATATTTGAATATTGTAATGAAAATATCTTTTATGATGAATGATTTTGTTTGACGAATGTCTTGGAATCTGGATGAGATTGCGAAATTCTTGTAAAGACCTTGTTTGGTGAATGACTACACTGAGAGAAAAAATTATTCCTGCCAAGGATTGATATTCTCGTCAGAAGATAATATTTTTTCCAGAACGAATTTTTCCAGGACAGTCATTTTCAGAGAGTCCAAGTCTATCCTCAAAAATTACAGTGATGTTGAACAATCTGATTATTATGCTACATATGACCTTGACAAAATGTTCTCCGATATCTTTCGGATTTTACAAATTGGCGATTTTCTCAGGTAAAGAAAATTTGAATAATTCCAAATGTTAATAATTATTATTGGAGTTTCTTCGAGGTCATATGCAGAAGAATATTCTTATAGATCACCATAATTCTCACGCTTGGAACTGATTTCGGAGCACCTGGAAATGACTGGCCTGGAGAAATACGTTCCAAAAGAGACATTTTCTTCTACTAAGAGTATGAAAAAGATATCACCAATAACATTTTCTTGGAAGGAATAAATTTTTTTCTCAGTGTAGATTTAGGGTGGATGTGGGATGAAAATGTGGAGGGAGATATTGGGAAAATTACTGATAACCCGGATTTAAAAAATCACACTTTATTTTGTGGGATCGAACCACTTTGTCAAAACTATTTACACTCTTTGGTAATTTAATTGTTGAATGTCTAATTATACTGATAATTGTCTTTCACTGTTAATTCGTCAAGTCACTAAATGTAAACTGAATTTAATCAACAGAGGTGATGTACTGAACAAAACGGTGATCTTACAAAGACCGGTGATGTACTTGATTACTAGTGAGCTAGGTGAGGTTCAAGAAGCTACTGTACTCGGTGAGGTGCAATATAAAACTTGTACAGGTGATTTGCCCGAGATAGACTTGTACGGTGAGAGGCTAAGCCTAAACTGATTCGCGCGTNCTGATACGCGCGTGTTTCGGTGACTTATGGCTGATGACCCGAAGGGTCCCGGAGATTTTCGAAGTAAGCCGATGGTCGACCAGATTGTTCTGGAAATTTTGTTGCATTTCAAACAGACCTTTTTTGTAGAACAGAATGAGATCTACAAAAAAGATTGGGCTAAAAATTTCGCTATCTCCTTTAGATTCAGAGATAAAGTGTTGAAACAAAATTTTATTCATTTTTTTTCTTTCAGAGATTCCTGGGCCAGCGTCCACCACCATCTCCACCCCCACTTCCACCTTCGCCACCACGACGCCAGCCTTCGCCACCACTAGAGCCAAGGGACCAAGAGAACCCTGCCCCACATCATCCAGACCCTAATGTTCTGCTCCACCACGTGGAGCAGCTTGGTCGACAGATTGCTGATCTGCAGAAGCAGGTGCGTCTCGATCGACGCAATGCTGCTCAACTGGCTCAGGATCCTCAAGAGCCTCCTCCAAGAGGGAGGGGCAGAGGTGCTGCTAGGGGCAGGCGCAGAGCTGGGAGATTCTTGGGGGAGAGAAACGCTCGGTATGGGCCCTATTTCTACTCAAATATCATGGAATGTAAGGGAGATAGCTCCATTTTTATAAGGACCATTTTTGTTTTTCTATTTCTGTTCTACGAATAAGGTTTGTTCGAAATACAGCCTAAATCTCCAAAATGGTCACGGTCGACTAACTCGGCCATCTCCGAAAATCTCCGTGAACTTTCGGGTCAACGGACACAGGTCAGCGCGGCACCCGGAAGAGTCAGTCGGTAGTAGTGTAGAAGTATCGTTACGATAATGGTCTAAAGTGTTCAGTCAAACAGTATTATAAACTTAATAATTTTGTTCAGTACATCAACTTGTTGATTAAGTTGAGAAATTTCAGTGACTCAACGAGATAAGGTGAAAGAGACAATATCAGTGAAAATTAGACATTCAACAATAATTGAAACCAAAGAGTGTACCGAAATAGTGACAAGTGGTTGGATCCCACGCCAAATATATTGATAATTTTATAAAACTCCTACGATAATTTTCCCAACATCTCCCTCCACATTTTCATCCCACATCCATCCTAAACTAGTTCCTCACCAAACAAGGTTCTCATAAAAATTTCGCTATCTCTTCTAGATTCAGAGATATCACAAAATGATCTTCACTTTGAGGTTATTTTTTGATTGATGATATCTCTAAATCTAAGGGAGATGGTGTTGGAACCATACATCCAATACAAAGAGGCCTTCTGCCTAATATAACAGTCACTAATACTTGTCGACACTCTCGTGTCAATAGAACTATGTATTTTGAGTCAGTCGTGTCTCAGCAATAAAACTGAACAGTCGAGTTATTTGTACACAGGTGTTATCAATCTAAATCCTCTCACAGTCACACCCTATATTCCTTACATTAATATTCAATAGGTTATGGGCCGCTCAATAGTTTAATGAGCTGTTTAATTGGTGATTAAAAGGAATTGTCGAGTTTTAATTAGAAGGAACATTAAAATTGTCGACGTGAAGTGAAAGAAAAGATTTAAGCAGAGGACGCTTGGAGACAGTTAAAATCTCGAAATGGCGTCAGGAGAGACTCACAGTGCGTTCAGAATTGAGAAACTCAATTCGTGTAATTATCAAACATGGAAATTCGACGTGAAAATGTTGCTGATGAAAGAAGAAGTTTGGGACGTGGTCTCGGAGGAGACACCATCGGGCGGTGCACTGACTCCACAATGGCTAAAACGGGACGGAAAAGCGCAGGGACTCATCGGACTACTGGTGGAACGAGGTCAAGTGGGTATGATTCGACCACTTAGTACAGCAAGGGAAATGTGGGAAAAATTGAAGTCACATCACGAGAAAAAGACCTTGACCAGTAAAGTCATGATACTGAAGGAAATCTGCGGTCTGCGTCTAGCCGAAGGTGGAGGTGTGGACGAGCATCTCCAAGCGATGGAAAATCTGGTCGATAAGCTGGCGTCTCTGGGGCAGACATTGGAAGAGAATCTGCAGGTAGCGATGATTCTGGGGAGTCTCCCCGATTCGTGGAATCCAACAGTAACAGCGTTGGATACTCGACCTGAGGAGGAATTGACCATGGCTTTGGTACGTAACATTCTTCTTAACGAACATAAACGACGACAAGGCCGGGGATTATCGGATGGGTCGACAGAGCAAGCGATGAAGGTAAACAATTCAGAGATAGAATGTTTCATTTGTCATCGAAAAGGGCACAAGAAATGGAAATGCCCAAAGTTCAAATCACAACAACAGGCCAAACGGCCAATTAAGGCAACGAAAGCCGAGGTATACACAGACAATAACGACAATGACATAACACAAGCCTATTCAGCTTATTCAGCGAATATTTCAAAAAATAATTCTGGTCTATCGGGACAATGGGTTTTGGATTCAGGGGCAACAAGGCATATGACAAACGACGAAAAATTTTTCCAACAGTTAGACAGGAATTATAGGTCGAAGGTCAAAGTTGCGAATCAACAAACCAGTGATGTCTGTGGGATAGGATCAGGAGAAGTCATGTGTCATCTGACATCGGGAAAAATAAAGGTATTAAAATTGAACCAAGTTTTATACGTTCCGTCATTTGATGCAGGGTTAATGTCAATAAGAGTCATGGATCGTCTGGGGTATAAAATGGTGGTCGAGAAGGAAATGATCACAGTCTATGGAGGAGATGGCCAGGAGGTGGCAGTTGCGGATGTCAGGAACGAAATGTACGTTTTGAGAGAAGGAAAAACAGAACGTGCATGCAGTGCATCCAGCCACAGTACTGACTGCATCCACGTATGGCATCGCAGGCTAGGACATCGTAATGCGAATGCGATACAGAAATTATTCGACAAACAATTGGCTGAGGGAATGCACATGATGAAGTGCGGCCAGTTAGAGGTTTGTAAAAGTTGTATACAAGGGAAAATAACGAGAAAACCTTTTGCTCAGGAATCGAATAGCAAAACGACAGAGATATTGGAGCTGGTGCATATGGATTTGTGTGGTCCAATGCCAACGAGAACTGTTGGTGGGCGCAGGTATTTGATGACGCTGATCGACGACTATAGTCGCTACGTTTTCGTCTATTTGTTGACAGAAAAGTCGAGTGCAGCGAGAGTCATCAAGGACTTTGTCGCGAACATGTTAACACAATTCAATAAAACACCGAAATGCTTCAGGTCAGACCGAGGCGGGGAATTTATGAGCCACGATCTGACAGATTTCTATGCTAAACGAGGAATTAAGGTACAACTCACAGCTCCGTACACTCCTGAGCAGAACGGAGTGGCCGAGCGAATGAATCGCACATTAATCGAGGCTACCAGGACAATGATGATCGACGCAGGGCTAGCTGATCAGTACTGGGGGGAAACCGTGATCACAGCTGGATATGTCCACAACAGATTGCCAACGAGAGTGAGGGAGAAGACACCATACGAGCTATTCCACGGAGTGAAGCCGGACCTGAGCAACCTGAAGGTCTATGGATGTCGTTCTTTCGCTCACAAGCCGAAGCATCTACGAAGGAAAATGGATGAGAAGGCACGTGAGTGTATTTTAATTGGATATTCGCTACAGTCGAAGGCATATCGTTTATTAGAACAGGACACAGGGAAGGTGATCACCAGTCGAGATGTAGTATTCATTGAGAACGAGAGACAAACCGGTCAGAAAAGAGTCAAATTCGGACTTGACGAAACGGAAACTACGGAAAGGGTGATGACAAGGGGGACATTGCCTAGGCCCGAAATCGTGTGGGTACCACACATATCAACAAAGAGCACTGGAGATGATGAAGAAAAAGGGGAAGACATCGCTAAAACACCGCAGCCGTCACCACAGCAAGGACCATCGCTAGGAAAAGGAAAGAGTAAGATGAACAACGTGGAGACCAGAGGTGAACCCTCATCAAGTTCAACGGAAGAACATGAGGATAGTATCCCTTTAAACCAGAGGCTCGGGCAGAAGAGCGAAAACAGCTTGGAAAAAATCAGCGGGGAGGAAGATAACGCTGATATGGACCAGGTCAGCGAGGAAGATGATCACAGTGGAGAGCCTACAACGTGGAAAGAGGCGTTGGAAGGGCCAAACGCAGCACAGTGGAGACAAGCGATGGATGAAGAGATCGAATCACTTCGTTTGAACGAGACGTGGGACTTGGAACCCATACCAGCATCGAAGAAGCCAATTGGATGCAAGTGGGTATTCAAATCGAAGAAAAGCGCCGACGGGGGACCTGATCGCTACAAGGCGAGGCTAGTCGCGCAGGGATTTTCACAAAGATATGGCGTCGACTACGACGAGGTGTTTGCCCCGGTTATCAAACACACAACATTGAGAATTTTGTTGTCAGTAGCAGGAGAAAGAGGTCTGGAGGTCAGACATCTAGACGCAAAGACGGCATTCCTGAATGGGATATTACGGGAAATCATCTATATGAGGCAGCCACCTGGCTACGTCGACGAGGGGAAGATATCGTGGGGATGTCGATTAAATAAAAGTCTATATGGGCTGAAACAATCAGCGAAGGCATGGCATGACAGGTTGAACGAAGTGCTAGAGAGTCTGGGATTCGAAACATCGATGGCAGATAGATGTCTGTATCGCACCAAGGAAACACCAAGAGACTATCTGGCAGTACATGTGGACAATATGCTGATAGCTAGTGAATCAACTGAGAGAATCGAGGAAATAAAGAGAGCTCTGAATGAGGAGTTCACAATCACAGACTTAGGTGAACCAAAAATGTATTTAGGAGTCGAGATAAGAAGAGACGAGGATGGAGACTTCTATCTCAGCCAGAAAGACTACATCCAGAAGACACTGAGAAAAACGAAACTACTGCAGGCAAAAGAATCGATGTATCCAATGGATCCAGGATATGAGAAGGCAAGGGTGGATTCACCAGTGATTGTCAACGAGTCGTATCATCGACTGATCGGTACACTATTGTATTTATCAGTGAACACAAGGCCAGACATAGCAGCAGCAGTCGCAATTCTGAGTCAAAAAATCAAGGAGCCTAGACAGGTCGACTGGAACGAGTTGCAACGCGTTTGCAGATACCTGAAACACACTATCAACTATGAGTTGAGGCTTGGTGGAAAAACTGAAGTGAGAGAACTCATTGGGTACGCAGATGCCAACTGGGCAGAAGCGAAGGACACGAGGAAATCGAATAGTGGATACCTATTCAAGCTGTTTGGTGGGACAATCGACTGGAGCAGTAAACGCCAAGATTGCGTCACCAATTCGTCAACAGAATCAGAACTCGTGGCTCTATCAAAAGCCTCAAAACAACTTCAGTGGATCAGGAAGATACTGAAATTCATGGACGAGGAGCAAACGGAGCCAACTCTTATGAACGAGGACAATCAAAGTTGCATAAATCTCCTGAGGAATGGAGGATCCAGCAATCTGGCAAAACACATCGACACAAGACACTTCTACTGCATGGAACTAGAGCAGAAGAATATCATTCACGTTGAGTACTGCCCGACAGAGGACAACCTGGCAGATCTACTCACCAAACCATTAAACAGACTACGAATAAAAACATTGGTTGATGGGATAGGACTAAAAGACTGGAATTAGTCTGAATGCTCATTGAGGGAAGGTGTTGGAACCATACATCCAATACAAAGAGGCCTTCTGCCTAATATAACAGTCACTAATACTTGTCGACACTCTCGTGTCAATAGAACTATGTATTTTGAGTCAGTCGTGTCTCAGCAATAAAACTGAACAGTCGAGTTATTTGTACACAGGTGTTATCAATCTAAATCCTGTCACAGTCACACCCTATATTCCTTACATTAATATTCAATAGATGGCAACATTTTTCTAAGGACAATTTTTGTAGATCTAGTCCTGTTCTACAGAAAAGGTCTCTATAAGAATTCCGCTATCCCTCTGTGATTTAGAGATATCATAAAAAAATGACTGAATCTAAGGGAGATGGCGGAATTCATGGCGGAAGGAGGAGGGGCTTCCTTCAACTTCTTTTATAGAGATTAATTAACTCTTCTCTCT